TCTGGCTGCTCTTCAAAATATGCTTCATGATACTAACCCATATGTACAAGTTTTTCAGCAAACAGGTAGATTGTTACAACAGAATCTATCTCAACAGTTGAAAATGGTAATTACAGATTCGAGAATGACTGATTCAAGACGTTATAACATTCCAAGTGCTTCTGAGGTTGCTGCTATTATAGTAGATGATAATAATAATACATCTACTATATGCAATCGTGATATTATTTTACATTCTCATAATGGAGGTCTACAGCATATATCTGAGCTTCATAGAGCATATACACTGTTACATTACGTTCTTCTTTTTTTAAGAGGGGAAGATAGATGGCATCCAAAAATTCCAATCCGTGATGAAGCACAATTATCTTTTCTTGATGTTGAACAACAACATGATATTGATGATGCTATCGATGCAGACGATAGTATTAAACATCAAAAACATGTTACTATGATGCAATATTACGCATATCGACTGCAAGTAGGTAGACCTGGAGAAGGAATGAATTTTCATCTATTTGAATGTCTTTTCCAACAATATATCGTTAATGCATATGCAAATGTGAAACAAAATCAGCTTAACTATTTAAAGTGCAATCAAAAAAAGATTTGTGCAGACCTTTATAGTAGCCTTCATGATGCATTAAGTACACAAGATAAAGTACCTCAGGATTTAAATGTCGCTAATATTGGCAGGCGAATTATTCTTTCATCGAGTTTTACTGCTGGGCCACAACAAATGCAGCAGCTATATCAGAATGCGATGGCTATTGTACACGAGATGGGTAAACCTGATCTTTTCATTACATTTACCTGCAATCCAGCTTGGCCTAAAATTACTTCAGAACTTCTTAATAATCAGGTAGCCTCTGATCGCCCTGATCTCATGGCTAGAGTCTTCAATATGAAATTGAAAGCTTTAATGGATGATATTCTCAAAAATCATATTTTCAGAATAGTTGTGGGTTATGTTTATGTCATTGAATTTCAAAAGCATGGCCTTCCTCACGCTCATATCCTTTTAATTCTTAATCAAAGTAGCAAGCCAAGAACTATTGAAGATTATGATGCTATCATATATGCTGAAATCCCTGATAAAAATCTTCATCCTTTGGCATATAATACTGTTTGCCGATCGATGATGCATGGTCCATGTGGTTCTGCTTATCCAAATGCGCCATGTATGAGAGAAGGGAAATGTTCGAAATGATATCCACGCACCTTTTGTACTACTACATCTGTAAATGAAGATGGTTATCCTATCTACCACCACTTTCATGATGGCCATTCTGTCGAGATTAGAGATGCACTGTTAGATAACCGCTAGGTGGTACCACATAATCTTTATCTTGCTACAAAATATGATGCACATATTAATGTTGAAATATGTTCTTCCATAGCCGCTATTAAATATCTTTTTAAATATGTTTATAAGGGCCATGATTGAGCAACAGTTGAAATAAGAAGACAAACTGAAGTAAGACCAACAAATAAAATTAATGAAATTAGCCTTTATTTAGATGCTCGCTACGTTTCTGCCTCAGAAGCCGCATGGCGACTATTCTATTATAAACTACATAATGAGAAACCTGATATTATGAGGCTTCATGTTCATCTCCCTGGCCAACACACTGTATATTATCGAGATGATAAAACTTTAGTAAAGATACTTGAGTGTGAAAATACTTCTGAGACCACTTTAACTGCATGGTTTAAAGCAAATACACGGTTTCTAGCTGCACATGAATTAACATATGGTAATTTTTCTACTTAATGGGTTTACCATAGAGACCACAAGGAATGAAAACCTAGACAACGAAGAAATAGTATTGGTCGTATGTATTTTGTATATCCAAAAGCTGGAGAACGTTACTATCTTCAGATTATACTAAACATAGTGCGTGGTACAACATCCTTCGATCATCTTAGAACTGTCAATAATATTCTTTATCCTACTTTTAAAGACGCCTGTGAAGCTTTAGGTTTACTTCAAGACGATAAAGAATGGGACGATTGTTTAAATGAAGCTCAACAAATACAATCTGGATCACAAATGCGGTATTTGTTTGCTACAATTCTTATGTTTTGTTATCCCACTCACCCGGAATTACTTTGGCAAAAATACATCACATCTTTTAGTGATGATATACTTTATCAAACCCATTTAGAAGCAGAAAGCAACCCTTCCTATACTTTTACCGAATCTGATATATACAATATAGCATTAACAAGATTAGAAGCTATTTTGATCAGAAATGGATTCCGTCTTACCGATTTTCCAAACATGCCTTTACCGCTTCAATTATTTAACAATCATATTCAGCAAAATTATTTACTCGCAAAAGAGTTGCAATATGATCGTGATTTTCTTAAAGTTAGAGCTCAGAATGCCTATTCACGTTTAAACTCAGAACAGCGCTCCATTTTTGATGCAGTAATTACAGCTGTAGAAAATCAAAGTGCTGCTATATTTTTCGTGGATAGTCCTGGAGGTTCAGGTAAGACATTTTTATATGGCGCTATATTAGACAAAATCAGATCTACTAGAAATATAGCGCTTGCAGTAGCTACTTCAGGCATTGCAGCACTTTTACTAGATGGAGGTTGTACTGCGCATTCCCTTTTTCAGATTCTATTTGAGTTACATGAAGATTCTGTATATAATATATCACATGGGTCAGATCATGCAATTCTTTTACAGCAAGCAAGCCTCATTATTTGGGATAAAGCTCCTGTGGCAAATCGTTTTGCACCAGAAGCTGTTGATCGAACTCTAAGAAATTTAATGAAAGCGATAGATCCAGCTTTAGAAAATCAGCCTTTCGGTGGAAAAGTTATCGTATTTGGGGGCGATTTTCGTCAAATTTTACCAGTAGTACCTAAAGGAAGAAGAGAAGATATTATTGGCTCCTGTTTATTGCGATCTCCTCTATGGCATCACGTAAAAGTTATAAAATTAACTATTAATATACGGTTACTACAAGCTGAAAGTGCACAGGAAACTATTGAACAGCAAAACTTTGCTAATTGGCTTCTAGAAATTGGTGA